TGTTTTATCCTATTTGGTGAAGCTATTGAGAGCAAAGACAAGTTAAGGTGGCGATGGTAAAAAAATTCAAAAAGAAAATTTCCAAAAATAGTAAGAAAAGAAATATGATAACCTGTGATGAAGGGGTAGCATTTGTCGCATGCTCAATTCGATTTTATTTGGACCACCCAAAACTTTGTCTATCTATTTTCTAAAAGCGGAGAGAGGTTAGGACCACCGATGACATTTCTTTAATTGGCTTTCGATGCCTAAGTTAGTATGAATTTTGAATGAAAAGGAAAATAGAATTGCGCAGAGTTTAGAAGACTTAAAAATAACATTTGCTAAAATGGATAGCGTTCCATCTGCTGTTGATATCTTTGCCATTCAGAGTGTGTATGTAGCGATCGAGATAAAAAATCTTGTGTTTCATTTTAAAATAAATTGAAAAATAATTTAGATTATATTATTTCATCGCTACGACACTTCCTAAGAGTTCAAGTTAAAGTTTTGGGTCACGATAGTAAAGTTGCGCGCACTTGTCTTAAAAAAATTTTTCGGTGTCGATTCTCTTTTAAAGGTTTTGATGACATATTTTATATTAATTGTCGTATAAGTTAAGTTCTTAAAATTTTAAAAAGTTAGATACACTTATTGTTTATGCCAAATAGCCCTTAAACATGATTTTGTCCTTCAAATAACTCTTATCTATTCAGCCACGTAGTTTTTTTTTTCCCCTCATCCCACATCTGATTTTTCTTTTTCTCCATTAGGTATTTCATTTAAATTTCAATATCCATTAAGTGTCATAACAGTTTTTATCATTTAGAATCCATTATGTTGATCATTAAAAGGAAAGAAAACAAAACTACCATTTCAAACGCAAAATTAATTGGCACGTTTCCTCAAAATTCCACCATTTATACACAAAGTTAATATGCTATTTACATTTGTTTTTTTATTCCACTTTAGTTGCTGCAAATTGCCAATTTCGTTTTGTGTTTGATAAGCAAAGCAACAACCTTTTACAACCCCAAAAGCCACGTTTTCTCTCCCCAACTATTACACTTATACATAAAATTATTTCACCCTTTTCCCATAGACTTAAGGCACCTTGAATTTGGAAATTTTCCAAAGGAGAGGCTAAGAGTACGCTACATTTTATTTCAAATTGGACGCAAAAAGGGTATTCAAATTCCAAGTATTTAATGTAGGGTGTTTTCGACACTTTTGTAAGTGAAGTAAAAATTTTGGTTTTAGATTTGCATTAAACGCGTTAATGTGTTGTTTATGATGGAAGCACCATTTAGTGATTCAAATAAGAGATGAAGAGATATTTTTGTTACTTGAAAGGGGTTATCAAAATCTAAGAGTAAGTGGACTGCCTGATCACCGGTTCACTTTGCAATTAATGGTGACACAAATAACCAAAATTTTCGTTTCTAGGAAACATATTTTTTTTATCATTTACTTAAGTATTTCCTACTCAGTATTACTTGTGGTACTCATCCCTACAAATTTACAGGTTAATTCAAGACATGGCAGTGGTTTGGCATTGTGACAAGTGCTCGACAATTTGAAATGCTCTTTAACTTTCTAATAAAGTTTTCAATTATGTAAATATCTTACGAACATTTAGTTGACATTTTTTTTAAAAAGTTTAATCTATTTAGTCTAGTTTTTATATACATTGCTTATCAACTATAACTTAGAAATGTTGGATTGATTATGCATGAAGTTTAAATACAGCTGAATTGAATTTTTAGATTCTGTCCTCTTACTTAAATTGTATAACTTGGGCTACGTTGTATGTTTTAGAGTGAAATCAGTGGGGTTTGAAAGGTTTAATCCTAGTCTTTGAAATTATCTTAAAATATTGCCTATAGAAAAAGTTGTGTCCGTTTTAGTAAACCGTGTCGGGTCAGTTTCGAAAATACTGTTCAGCATAGTTGAAAAATATTTTCGTACTTCAAACATCATCGTCGAGACCCTAGATTTTTACGTATTGTACATATATAAGTGTTATAGGCTGTGTTGAAATTTCATAAATTTTAGTCAATGTTTACTCGGTCAAACATATTTTTCTCTCCGCTGATGCGCAACCGATAGTTAGTGAATTTTCTCGAGAAGTTTTCCAAAATCAAGTTACACCATAATTGTCTAAGTATATATGGACCAATATCTACCATAATTTTTTTTATATATTTCAAAATCCAAAATTTTTATTAGTTACAATTTATTCTGGCTTACATTAAAGAGCCCCAACTAAAAAGATTTTTCTTGTAACGCTTCAAATTTCAAGAATCTTGGGGCGTTATATCAGAGCAATGATTTAATTTGTAGACTTGCATTAGAGACCATATCTTAGGTGTGTTGTGTCATAGATAAAATTGTTCAATTTTCTTTTCTTGAGGATCCTGAGTACCGTGCTTGTTACAACTACGCTATGCCGATTTTGAGGTAAAGAAGTTTTATAGATATACTTGTATCTAGGTGATGGGTATGAGAAAGATTACTCTAGATTCAACATTTGAAATGTATGTATGAATATTAGTATATGTTGGAGTGTGAATACTTTTTATAGATAATCATTAATGTACCAAGTATTTTGAGAACGTGACCAAATTCAATGTTTATTTAAGTCCTCGAGAATTAACGAAAACTTATTAGATACCCACTGATTGGACCTCGAATAATTGGTATGACACAAATGGTACATATTAAGAAAACTTGTAGGAAGACGAGTGCATTGATGCCTCGTCGATATGAGATCGTGAGGCAATATGAAGAGTATCGATGGAATCCAACGCACAATATTGGCTAGACTGGCTAGGTCGGATGGGCCGACGAAAAGTGGTTGGTAGAATGGTGGTATGGCTTGAATCGTTCCCTAATTGCCTTGTTGCTTCCACCTCTTGACGAATCATCTATTTCGTTTCTTAATGAGCCACTTCTTCTAGAGCGTGGTTAGCAGAGCCATACGTGAAATAGATTTTAGAGATTCTAGAAATCGTAATATTGGTGATTGATGAAGAGTAATTCTAAGAGATCCGTTCATCAGAATGATTGTTATGGCCCCACGATGGGCGCCAAATTGTAGGCAGTAGATTCCACAATTGAGAAAATCAAATCGATCGAGCCATTAGTAATCCTGCAAAATTCAAGAAAAGTAGAACAAGAAAGAAGGATCATTAAAGATCTTACGAGGGCACCGATTGGTGCCGTTCGAAGATACTCTGACGGTCAAGTAGATAAAGCTTGTCGAGAATTATATTAGTGGTAGAAGGAAAGTAAGAAAAAACAGTTCAGAGTAGAATAGATAAAGATACCTGGACGTTTGACTGATCATAAAATTTATAGGAGTGGGATAACCATCTAAATGGAATTGAAAAGGATTCTCTGAGATTTTGTGGTTGGTTGGAGCTAAATTTGACTGGATCCATTCGGTTGAGATATTCAGATTATTTATAGATAACTCCTGCTTGACTTGATCAAATCATAGCATGTTATGTCTAAACTGTTTGACGATAGCATATCGGAGGTTTTGAGTTAATCCATGGGTCTTGGACCGTGTTGGGTTAGTGGCATTAATGGGTTGGGCCAGAGGTGGCACATTTGTTAAGTGGGTCGTTCATGTGCCTTGTTCCATGAGTGGCGCTTAGGCAAGTGGAATATTTTTTACCACTACAATACTGTATCGAAAGTAGTGAAGGCTTGAAATTGTTCATTAAGTCCCTATATGAAGAAATGCTACGTTGCGTTTAAATTAAATTTTTAATGAGAAACGTCAAAACGTCAACATACTTGTTTATGTTATTTATTAATGATTGCGAAATTATGACATCTAAACCTAATGGATAAGATAAGATGGTCTCCTAAAAGATTTTTTTAGGCCATCTCTAACCTTACACCAAAATTTAAGGTAAGTTTTGCAACATTTTATATAAAATCAGTACTAAACTAAAAATTATCTCCAACCCAATCAACCAAAAGTTGTATCAAATGAACAATGTTTCATTATTTTCTTCATTTTTTTAATTTTTAACGATTTATCTTTCTAAAAAATTATTTATTTATTTTATAACAATAAAAATTACTAAATAAATAATTCCATTTAATTAACGAAATTATTGAATTCACTAATAAATTTATTAAATGTATAATAATAATAATAATAATAATAATAATAATAATAATAATAATAATAATAATAATAATCTATTCTATAACAAAAATGGACACAAATACACTCAATAAGAAATTGGTGCAAAATGGAAAAGAAGGGTAAAAAGGTACTTAACCATTTTTGTGCAAATTTGTACAAATAAATAGTGTTGCACCAAATACATCATTTTGGTGTGCAACGCTAAATGGTGCAGTGAGTTGATGATGGATTGCACAAAAAAATTGGTACAATTTGATGCAATTAGATATGGGTTGGCCATAATACTTATAATTAGTTATTGTTGAGAGGAAATTACACCCACCCCTACTTTTAAATTATCATTTTCAAAAATCATGAATCAAGTTTCATACTACAAAAATCAGGTTTTAATTAATAATTTAAAAACACGTTTTTGTTTCTATTTTTATTTTTATATCTATTTACAATAAATTAATTTATATATTCTCCCCCCACCCCCATCTACTCCAAACCCTAAAATCAATTAACCAATTACCTCTCGACTCTCAATTCCTTCTCTCGACTCTCTGCTCTACGCCGCCACCAGTGGCGGCGGCGGCTCTTCTTCCACTCCTCTCCTCTCCATCTTCTCGCCTCCACTCTTACTCGGCTCTTTCCCTAGGGTTTCGAAGATCCAACCGGCCCATTCTCCGTCGCCTATCACTCTCTCTCTCTCTCTGCGTCGCCGCCTGTTTAACATCGACGACGTACCGCCATATAGAAGCAACGCGCGGTGCTTCTGTAATTACTAGCACCAGCGTTGAACACTGCTGCAAATTTCACCGGCGGCGAGCACTGCTGCTATTGACAACAACAATGAGAGCCACTACAATCGGAAATGAGCGTCTTCGCAGCTGTAAAATCAAAGGTAGCACATTGCTATCGCAATCTGACAGGCACTGGCCAAATCTGTTGTGGTGGTTGTGGTAGTCACTGGCCAGATCTGTTGTGGTGGTTGCAGATCTGTTGGGTGTGCGGTTGGGTGTGTGTGGGTGCGGCGGTTGGGTGTCGGTGTGTGAGTCGGCGACCGTGGTTCCGTGGTGTTGAGATCGTGGTTTTTGTTGTTGGAGTGGTAGTGACAGCCGTGGTTCCGTGTTTTGGTGTTGTTGGGGGGTTTTTGGGGGGTGAGTTGGAGCTCAGAAACAGTTGTATTGGTGTTAGTGGCATCGTCGTGCTGCCGTCTCGGTGATGGTGAAGTAGTGGTGGTTTTTTGTGGTGGATGCGGTTTTGGGGTGGTGATAGTGGTGGTGGGAGGGTGTGGTGTGGTGTGTGATACGTTGACGTTGCTATTGGGCGGCGACGATGGTGGCCCGCTAGTAGAGGCAGTGGCGAAGTGGTCACAAATGATTATGTTGTTTGTGACCACTAATTTGGTTGGTTGGCAACCAATAAACGATATGTGACCAATGAATTAGATAAAATGTGACTATTACATGATGTGTGACCTAAAAATTATTATTTTGTGACCAATAATTTGATAAATTGTGACCTAAATATAATTTATANAGGGGTGGTGGAGGTGGGGTGGGGTAATTATATTATATTAGAATTAAATATTTAATGATAAATTGATTTAATAATTCATTATTTTATAAATAAAGAATTAAAAAACCTGATTTGTGAAATTTAGAACTTATTTTTGTATTTTTGAAATAGTGTAAAGTAAATACCTTAGAAATATATTGTTCCCTTTTTTTATTGAATTTGGACAATTTTTAAAATTTGAGATCACTTGAAAACCTTCGTAGTTTTTAACCTTCTATAAATTCTTTCTGAAAAATAATGTATAAATAAGTTTGAAATTATTAAGTATTTTCTGTTACAATTTTTTTGTATTCATTCATTTCATTATCTTGTCCTTAATTTTTAGTTTATCATCAAATAATTTTGCATTTGTATCTAGTATTCATGTCAATCAACCTATGTTAAAAAAAAAATGGATATTTGTATATTCTAATTCCTTCTCTTGTCTCCGATATTATGTCTATTTAGGTTTTTCCATTTTAAGTATTAATTTGTTTTAATCGGGATGGGTTGGGTTGAGTTTTGTTGGATTTTGATTCATAACTCGAACCCCAACCCAACCCGACCCGACCCGACCCGACCTGACCTCAAATTTAATTTTTCAACCCAACCCAATCCAATAGAACTTAAAAAACAACATAATCCTGTCGATTTGGGTTGGGTTGAGTTGGGTTGTGTTGGTCGGTTTGGTTTGATTTTTGCCTTGCACTAATTATATTCATTAAGGTATACCATCTTCAAACAAGTTTAATGAAAATTGTTCTTCTATTTTCTCCATACACCCTCTTCTCTTCTCCCCTTCATTTTCTATGATACTTAACGTATTCTTATTACACATAACGAATTAATCATCTTTGGCCCTGGTGGATTAAAGATTAAAGTGCTTTAGAGTAAATGATATAAACTTGACCTACGGCTTATGTTTTTTTTTTCTATATCATAATGTTTTAAATACCTCTTTTTACTCATAATTGTAATATGCTATATGAATAGAATTTAGCTATATTGATATGAATGTCAAGTAAAATGTACATATAGCATGATTGATATGAATATGTATGTTAATAGTCCTTTCATATTGACTATACTTAGAATTGAAATTTTCCAAGAAATTGGTTTTGAAGATAATATAAAATAGGATTATTGCGCCTTCGCATTATAAATATCGATTCTATGTCTTAGATATATAAATTTAAATTCTTACAATCTTTTTTATACAGTGACATATATTGATTTTAAAGTAACATTTGTTTAATTATCTAAAAATTGTCGAAGGCATAAATATTCTTTCAACTCAAGATTTTCTTATGTTGTGTATATTGGTCTATAAATATGAGTATGATTTTTATTGAATTATATGACAAATTCTCCATTCACGTGGAATTAGAGCAAGTTTTAAAAATATTTATTTAAGTTATAAGGATTTTACCAAATCATAGTTAAAAAAATGGAGTTTTCTTAAACTCATTTCCTATGCAGGATAAAAATTTGTACTGCAGGAACTTTCATGGCTTCTGTATGAACTTTCGCTTTTTAAATTACCATACAGACTATTTATTTAGAGTCCATCTTGTATATAATATTAATATTTTTGTATCTAGTACGTTTGAATAATAAAATTATAAAGTGTTACATTTCAATATTATGAAAAATCGTATAGCAATGCATATTTATTGGCATGATATGAAAATTAGAAAAATAGAAATGATGTATAAGAATAACTGTTGTGCCAAATTTTTACTACGAGCTAGAATTTATTTAGTGTTAAAATATCCAGCACATGCAACTACAAAATATTCCAGCTCATCATCAGATCTCCTCCATCTCTTCAGCTCACGTCCAGCAGCTCACTATGGTGCCAATTCCAGATCCTTCTAGTTTCTTCTTTAGTTTGTTATTAGTTGTTAGATTGTTAGATTTTTCTCTATAAATAAACTAGTGTGCAATGTAATTTTTCCAAGTTGAATGAATACAATTTCATCTTCTTCCCTGCTGCTACAGCAGGTTCTATCCCTTTAGTTTTCAGTTTCTTTCATTGTCGTTTTCTCAATATGCTATCAGAGCATATCTTCCGCTGTTGCTCTCTGTTTTTTTTTTCCGGTTGTCTTCAAAGTGTTTGACAAAAGTTCCCAATGGCAAGAGGGATTACACAAGTTCAGAGCATTTTATTGTGCTTCTTGCTGCTTTCTTCTACAGAATTCGAGTGAGAGAATCCAGTATGATTTCTTCTTCATTAGTTCTTTTCTTCAGCAAATACAGATCCGATTTTGAAGCCATGGTTGCTCACTAATTCTGGTTAAATTCTGCTGCTGATTTCGATCAGAATTCTTCAATTAATCTGATCACTTCCTCTGAAGATAACTATGACTTCAGTTTTTAATCTCCTCTTCAATGAGCAATTCCGCCATTGCTGAGTGTTTTCATGGAATTTATTCCGATTCCATTGTCTATGGTCTTCTCCTTTATGGATGATAATTCATGGTTTCTAACCCATGCAAAATCTGAAGATAATTTTGGCTTCAGATCCAGCTTTGTTCTGGAATTTTCTCTTCACCAGCTCGTGTTGAAGCTTTCTTAAAGAAATTTGGATCTAAATACCTTTTCAGGCAAAATCCAGGGCCACCAGGGTCAAACTTATCAAGCATATACGTATGTGAATGTCCGGAGAATGAGTTTCCTGAATCATTTAAGGAGTCATCTTCCCATAGCCACTCATCAGATAATATTGTCTGTCAAGAAGAAAAGCCAGAAGCTACTGTTGATTGTACAATAGATACTAAAGCTTTCCTAGGCTGGATAGTTGAAGACAAGCTATGGACAAATGATGATGAGACATGTACTGATGAAATGACCTATGTAAATCTGCAACTGAATCCTGAAGGCTACACTGGCTATACTGGTCCATCTGCTAGAAGAATTTGGGATGCTATTTACATAGAGAATTGTCCCAAATATCCATTTGGAGAGTGCCAAGAGAAAAGAATATTGTACAAGTTGATATCTGGTCTTCACCCCTCCATTTTAATCCACATAGCCGCTGATCACCTGCAATTGGAACCTCAGTCATGTTCCACGCTTTAATTTTCAAGATGGACTATTGTTGATCTCCATAGTCCATCTTGAGGGGGGTGTGTTAAAATATCCAGCACATGCAACTACAGAATATTCCAGCTCATCATCAGATCTCCTCCATCTCTTCAGCTCACGTCCTGCAGCTCACTATGGTGCCAATTCCAGATCCTTCTAGTTTCTTCTTTAGTTTGTTATTAGGTGTTAGTTTGTTATTAGTTGTTAGTTTGTTAGATTTTTCTCTATAAATAAACTAGTGTGCAATGTAATTTTTCCAAGTTGAATGAATACAATTTCATCTTTTTCCCTGCTACTACAGCAGGTTCTATCCCTTTAGTTTTCAGTTTCTTTCATTGTCGTTTTCTCAATATTTAGCACCTATTATCATGGTCCATGACAATACCTCATAAAGTACATAATTTTAATATACTCACAAAATTTATATAATTTCATGTTAAGAGCATGGTCACGTGAGTTGTGAGTATCAAAGGATCCCTCCACTTGCAACAAGCCAAAAACTTGCTAACGATTAGAGGTAAGTAAATCTTCCATTATGTTCATTGGTATGTTATAATGTTGAATATAAAAATATGTTAAATAATTTATCATTATATGAATAGTGTATTCTATTATTGCTTTACACGTTGTTAGTGCATTCACATTATTAAATTCATGCAAGCCAAGGCATTCATAAGTGTGCATGGAATGAAGTTTCAAGAAATGAATGGTTTCTAAATGATAATGTGACAAGGAATATATTTTTATAAAGGGTAATTAGCACATAATGTCCACACCTTTTACTGTTATTGTGGAAAACGTCTATACCTTTTAATTTTTTGGCATTTTCACATTTATTTCCACATTTCATTGTGTAAAAGGTCATTTTTATCCATTTTTCAATTAAAAATTGTGAAATGGCGAAAATACCATTTCTTTTAAATAAAACAAAAGAAAAAAAGAAAAAAACTAATTGTAAATATAGTTCCAAATTTTTTGAAAAGCGCAAATGAATCCCAAATAAATTATTAAGAGGGTAATTAACACATAATGTCCTAACGTTTGGTACGATTTTTATTTTATTTAGTTTATTTGTTATAGTTATGTCATATATAAATGTTTTTTATTTGCAATAAAAGGTTATTATATGATAATGTCAGAATTGGAAAATATGTGGTAAGGGATTTTCCAAATTTGGAATATGGTCATAAGTAAAGTGACAATGAGCCACAAGCATAATAACATTTTAAAGAAAATTTTATTATATTTCAGCATGACCACAACTACTCGTTCCAACACTCCTAAAGAAATATATGAGAGCCGGACAACATAACTAGGACAATAGGAACCCCTATGAAAATAGAGCAACATATCCATTTATTAGTCCAACAATTACCAAAAATATTGGAAAAACTACTTCCACACATGAACGTACAAAATAATTTGTTAACACCTTCCGAAGATGTAATGAACTCAAATGGTATATATGGATATTTCTCAATAATTGTGGATGAGAAATTGTTATTACCATATCTTGTAATGTTGGATGTTTATCACTTTGATTTCACATTAGGGATGAACAACCATCAAGGTATCATGTTGCAATTGAATGCAATAAAAGAAAGTATTGTTTCAAACCCTAACTGCACCCAAATTCTTTTTGCTTTTTGGGGACAACATTCAAGCATGCATTCCCATACTTATAGCCATGAATACTTGCCAACTGGTGAAATGGGCTGCATGGCTTTGTTCACTAATAGAGGTCTTGAATGTTAATATCTTCTTTAAAAAAAATCCCCAACAGATAAAGTATATCGAAATGTATTTGTTAACTCAAAAAACTCACACCACGAACAGTACTAAAATATATGCTAGATGTGTGGAGAATGTGCACGGGGAGCGAAAATCCAAGAGGTCTGTAAAAGACAAAGCATACTACTCTCCTATCCAGGTTGGCTATAGGCTATTAAAACATCTGTAAATTGTCACATTTGTAACTAAACCAGTTATAAATCAATCAACGAGGAGCTGCCATATGTCATTTTCTCAAAAGGAGATCCAAGAGGTCCACACAAGGCAAATAGTCACTTACTTCTTGCTCTCAAATAGTCACTTACTTCTTGCTCCTGTTTGAGCATCCAAATCAGTGAGTTCAGAAAGTAAAAATTGTAATTAGGTGGCTAGGATTTGTTGATCCGATTTATATCATCAACAAATTGACGCTGTCTATGAGAAACTTTAACAAAGTAAACCACGAAAATTTGTTGTTCTCAGGGAACTTTTTAGCATCTAGTAGAAATGAATCTTGTGAAGGAGAATCTAGAGAAAAAATTATCACCAGAAACTACGATCAAAGGATATAATAGTGATGAGCCCTTAAATTGTGACGCTAACCCAAAACTGTAGCAAAAGGAAACATTGCTAAAATCGTAAACTAGCATTTTTTGTGTTCAACACCGTCGTATGAGAAAAAGGCATCTATTACCAAGACAATATAGGAAACGATGGAATGCCTAAAGATGCCAACCATAGAGAATGCATCATTGCGAGCAAAAACTGAAAATTCAAGAGCAAATTGACAAGTTGATTCAGGAATAAATGGAAGAAAGCAAGCTGTCACCCCTTCCACAAGAAAATCAGCAATGTGTAGGTTTCAAAAATTGATGATAACATAGCAAAGAAGAGGAAGGAGCGGTACAAAGATAAGTATGCAGTAAGAAGGTCTATAGATAAGTGAAGTTCCCGCGATCGGAGATCAACTCAAAATTATCGACAAGGAGATTAGAGAGCTAAGAATTATGATGACACATCATATAATACTCTTGCAACAAAAGAGTGCAAAGATCATCCAGTTAGATTATATGAAATGGATGATGATGATGAATGCATATTTTTTTCTAAGGAACTCAAGGAGGTGCCAATCCCAGACAATTTTATTCGTCCTCTAATAGATAAATACATTGGGAAAAGAGATCTTATGTCACGACCCGTCCCAAGTCACCCTAATAGACCTGACACGTGTCGTGCGCCGATGATAAATACCAACTAAGTGCTGGACCTATCACCAAGGCGTCTATAACTTGTTCTAATTGTGACACACTTTTATAAAAATTTTGACAGAGTTTTCCCTGTAATTT